TAAGTTCAATATGAAGGATCAAATTAGTTTGGTGTAGTAAGTGGTTATCCAATCAAGGGTATGTGGTATAGTATGAAAGTCATTATATACAACAAATCTACTGTTTCTTGAGGATAAATTTCATCATATTTATTGGTACAGTAAGTAATTATGTACTGATGGACAAATTTATGAACACCAAAATATGATGTCACAAACTTGTTTTTCAATCGGCAAGTATGACCGAATCGTTCAAGTAATAAACTTGGTAAGACAAAGTATCGTTCTTCCCAAAGGACTCACGGCCTAGTTTAGTTGTGTGGTTTCTTAATTAGCTAAGACTTACAGAAAAAATATTTGGAGTTTAATATGCAAGACAGAAAATAAACATGTATGCATGAAGTTTTGATCAATGGCAAAAAGCAAAAGATAAACACTTTCAATGAAATATAGATATGAATATGTTGTTGGGGGTCAATTTCATCTTATCCACTCTCATATATTTTTAGGAATTCAACAGTCAAATCATCATTGTTAATGCCACTCTCTAATGTACCTTTCCAGAAGGCTTCTCCCTAATCACGAGTTCATACAATTCCTAGCATTCCTAATGATCAGTTCATAAGTGCAGGAGCTTAATGACAACCAATATAAAATTGGGAGAAATTCCCCGGATCTAGACTTCCCCGTACGTGCCCGTATCGACAAAACCAATAATCATGCATCGAATGAGTTAAACAATGCAAGCATTAAGCAAAGAGGAAAAACCCTAACTAATGATGAAANTAAAGCAAGAGTTCAAACAAGTTTCTAAGTAAAAAAGGACTCATTTAGTATCAAAATTGAATCATAAATAATAGTGAAATCAACCGTTATCACAACCCTAAACTTGAAACTTTGCTTGTCCTCAAGCAAAAAAAAACCTAGCTTAACAACATATAGCCAAACTACAATGGTCTAGCACACCAAAAAGCATTTTTCTCCAGGACAAGTAAATCACTCATGTATGCTCCTCATAGAAAGATCAGTCAAGATATAATGAGGCTTTAACCAATCAAGCTCAACTATGGTGCTCATATAATCAAAACATACACAACAGATGCCAACTTCATTAAGAATCAACAACCAAGCAAGAATGTTATCATAAAGTGCTGGAACAATTCCTCACCCAGGATAGTGTTTCACTCAAGCTCAAAGGTGTAAGTGAGATGACACTCTTACACTTTACCATCACAATGTCACATGAATCAACTTTGCCTTTCATTTAAACACATCAAACACACTCATAAGAAAGTTATCATCACAAGGACTTTTTCTAGGCTTGTAACATGGTCGGGCTAAGAAGAAAATTTGTTTTTCTAGACAACAAAATTTCTTGAGTTAAGAGAGTGAACAATTTTACTTAATGATACAACATTAATCTCTCTTTTTGCTTTTTATGTGAGAAACCAATATTCAACTCATTCCATACTTTCCTTTCATTGAGCTTAACCTTTTCTTTCTTTCTTTTCTTCTCTTTTCTTTTTCTTTTGGTTTTTCTTTTCCTCAATGCTCTTTAAAGATTTTCACAGAGTTCTTCCCGGTTTCCCACAACCCCAAAATTGAACCATTCTCCATTACCGTATAAACATACTCTACTCAACTCAAGGCAAGGATTTCAAAACGGTTTTTCATATTTAGGCTCAAAGTTCAAAGGATAGAACAAACATTGTTCATTATTGGGTTCACATATTGGCATTGGCTTACATGGGAGAAGAACAAATGACCTTGATCATGTGTAACAAGCAAACAAGTGGTTCAATCATAAAAAATCAGGCAAAATCAACCATGCTTCCAAAGCAATAACACTCAATCAATCAAAGACTCTGGGGTCCAACCTCTCACAGGGTAACTCAAGTTCCATAATTTGATAAACATCCTGCCCAACATATTAATCACAATTGAAACCATGCATCTGCTTTTAAACAATTATGAGCAACCACCATTTATGCTTTCAAGCTAAAGGAATCATTATCACAATCATGCATCTTAAAACAATAGAGCAAACACAAGACAATATTACTCATCACAAAACAGTTCATCACCAATCACCAAACCTTTGCAGCAAACTATCTATCCATTTAGCCCAGTACATAGTTCACACTAAAAACAAAATCATCAAAGTAAAGAAAAGAAAAGAAGAATCCTTTGGTCCTGGACGTGCTAGTGCTATGAAGTCTGGGAGAAACACCATCCTAACCTGAAAAACACTCATAACACAATCAAATCAAAACCATTCAACTAAATCAACTAATACGAAAAGCCTATAAAAGCTAGGTTACCTCTCAGTAAGCGCTTGTTTAACGTCACGAGCTTGACACCATTATACTCAGGGGTCAACCAACTCCATTACTGTGGAAAAGCGTTCAACCTCTCCACCCAAATAATGCTTGAGGCGTTGCCTGTTAACCACCCAGCTTCTTTGCGGATCACTAGCAGCCGAATCTACCAACTCAATTGCTCCGTGCGGTTTAACATCCTTAATTGTAAACGGTCTAGACCACTTGGACTTCAACTTCCCAGGGAAAAACTTTAGACGTGAGTTGAATAACAAGACCTGCTGCCTTGGATAAAAAACCTTCTTTACCAACTTCCTGTCATGATAAAATTTTACCTTCTCTTTATAATTCTTGGAAGACTCATAAGCATGTAAACACATCTCTTCCAACTCAAGAATTTGTCTTTTTCTTTTATTAGTGGTATCAAATGGATCAAAGTTTAAGAACTTCAAAGCCCACAAAGCTCGATGCTCCATCTCCACTGGTAAATGAAATGCTTTTTCATATACTAATTGAAAAGGAGATAGCCCTATAGGTGTCTTCATTGGAGTCTTGTATGCCCAAAGAGCATCATCTAGCTTTTGAGACCAATCCTTCCGTGATGAAGCAACCGGCTTTTCCAAAATCTTCTTTATCTCCCTGTTAGATACTTCAGCTTGCCCGTTTGTTTGTGGATGATATGGAGCAGCCACCTTATGCCTCACACCATAATGCTTGAGTACTTTTGCTAGTTGAGCATTGCAAAAATGAGATCCCCCATCACTGATAAGAACTCTAGGAACTCCAAACCGAGCAAAAATATGCCTTTTCAAAAATTTAATGACAATGCTAGCATCATTCCTGGGACAAGCAACTGCTTCCACCCATTTACTCACATAATCAACCGCCACCAAAATATATTCATTATTAAAAGACGATGGAAAAGGTCCAACAAAATCTATCCCTCAACAATCAAAGACTTCAACCTCCAGAATGCCCTGTAATGGCATTTCATGTCGTCTTGAGATGCTCCCAGTTCTTTGACATTTATCACAATTTCTAGAATGATTATGAGCATCTTTAAACAAAGTAGGCCAATAAAATTCTGACTGGAGAACCTTTGCAATTGTTCTCTCTCCATTAAAATGCCCCCCATAAGGTGAATCATGACAGTGCCAAAGAATTCCTTTTGCTTCTTCAGTAGTAACACAACGCCTCAAAAGATTGTCCGCTCCAATCTTAAATAAAAACGGATCATCCCAGATAAATTGTTTTGCATCATGCAAAAAAGTTTTCTTCTGTTGCCATTTAAAATCTTCTGGGATTACTCTTGCAGCTTTAAAATTAGCCATATCAGCAAACCATGACCTTTGTTGAATATACAGGAGTGTTTCATCTTAGAAGGACCCCCAAATTTCTTTCTCCTTACTTTTAACTTCACCATTTACTAACTGGGATAGATGACCAACAATCACATTCTCACTACCCTTCTTGTCACGGATTTCCACATCAAACTCTTGCAATAAAAGTACCCATCTAATCAAGCGTGGTTTAGAGTCTGGCTTGGTTAGAAAATACTTTATAGCTGCGTGATCCGTGTATATCATCACCTTAGACCCGAGGAGGTAAGGTCTAAATTTCTCCAAGCAATATACTATAGCAAGGAATTCCTTTTCTATAGTGGCATAATTCAACTGGGCTTCATTCAAAACTTTGCTGACATAATAGGTAGTGTGAAACACCTTCTCTCTTTGTTGGCCAAGCACCACACCTATAGCATAATCACTAGCATCACACATTAACATAAAGTCTTGATTCCAATATGGAGCTACAATCACTGGCACAAAAACCAGTTTCTTCTTCAAAATGTCGAAGGCCTTCATGCATTCATCATTCATCACAAAAGGCACATCTTTGACAAGGAGATTGCTTAAAGGTTTGGCAATCTTGGAGAAGTCTTTAATAAATCTTCTATAAAACCCGACATGCCCTAAAAAGCTCCTGATTCCTTTCATATTTTCGGTGGTGGAAGCTTTTCAATGACTTCCACTTTAGCTCTATCAACCTCAATTCCCTTGGAAGAAACTTTGTGCCCCAAAATAATGCCTTCAGTTACCATGAAATGACATTTTTCCCCGTTAAGAATAAGGTTTTTCTGAATGCACCTTTTAAGAACACTATACAAGTTAGATAAACACACTTGGAAAGAATCACCAAATACCGAAAAATCATCCATGAAGACTTCAATGCACTTTTCTATCATATCCTCAAAGATTGCCTATATACATCTTTGAAATGTGGCTGGAGCATTACACAAGCCAAATGGAATTTTTCTATAAGTAAAAATACCAAATGGACATGTAAAACCTATGTTTTCCTGGTCTTTTGGATCCACCACAAGTTGATTGTACCCTGAGTAACCATACAAGAAGCAATATAAAGCTTGTCCAGCCAATCTCTCCAACATTTGATCCATGAAAGGAAGGGGAAAGTGATCCTTCCTTGTAGCCTTATTCAACTTTCTATAATCAATGCACATCCTCCACCCAATAACCATCCTAGTAGGAATGAGCTCATTCTTTTCATTGTATATAACTGTCATCCCACCTTTCTTTGGTACCACCTGTACTGGGCTTACCCATGCACTATAAGAAATAGGGTATATAATACCAGCCTCTAGAAGCTTCAACACTTCTTTTCTAACCTCCTCTTTCATCACAGGATTCAGTCTTCTTTGTGTTGGGCAACTGGTTTATACTCATCTTCCATGAATATTTTGTGCATGCAATAAGTTGGGCTTATGCCTTTGAGATCCGAAATTGACCATCCAATAGCTCCGTTGTTGACTCTTAGTACTTCCACCAAATTTTCTTCTTCTTTGGAGGATAAAGAATTACTGATGATGACCGGTTTATTCCCACCTTCTTCTAAGAAAACATGCTTTAAATGTGGGGGTAACATCTTCAATTCCAGTTTATTTTCCTTGACTTTTTCCTTGGTATTGATCTCTTCAATTTTCGCCTCATGAAAAGGGATTTCTTTTAATCCATCCAAGTCAATCAAGCACTCATTAATATATTCCTCTTCTTCCTCATTCAAATCTTCACATGCATCAATGAGCGTTTTCTCTAAGGGTGAAGAACAGCATAACATCTTCTCCTGAATCATACATACTTCATCTAGTGTGTCAAGATAAAAACATGCCTTATCATCTTTTGAATGAGACATGGCTTCAAACACGTCAAAATTCACTTCTTCATCTTGTACCCTCACCTTGAGTTTGTCATTCTCCACATTAATTAAAACTCGAGCCGTTTTCATAAAGGGTCTCCCAAGAATGAGAGGCACATCAATATCCTCCTCCATCTCCATGTTGACAAAATCCACCGGAAATAAGAATTTGTCCACTTTAACAAGCACATCTTCAACCACCCCATAAGGATATTTAAGAGATCTATCCGTTAATTGGAGAGTCATCCGAGTAGGCTTGAGTTCCAAACCTTCAATCTTTTTAAACATAGAGAGCGACATTAAGTTGATGCTGGCTCCCAAATCAATCAAGGCCCTTACAACAGCTAACTTCCCTATAGTACATGGAATGGTGAAGCTTCCTGGATCTTTAAACTTAGGGGGTAAGACTTTCTGTATGATAACACTACAATTCCCTTGCACTTCAATAGTTTCCTCTTCAATGTATTTCCTCTTTTTCGTGAGAAGTTCCTTCAAAAATTTAGCATATGAAGGCATTTGTTGCAGTGCTTTAGAGAAAGGTATGTTGATCTCCAGTTTCTTAAAAATTTCCACAAAACGCTTAAATTGCTTTTCTTTTTCCGTCCTTGAATAATTCTTTGGGTAAGGAAGGGGTTTTTCAAATATCTTTCTTTATTTTCCGTCCTCTTCTTCTCTTATTTTGTCTCCCTCATCTTTCTCCTTTTCTTTTCTCTCACTCTCTTCTTTTTCTTTCTCTTTTCTCTCAGTTTCTCCTTTTTCACTCAACTTCTCTTTCTCTTTTCTCTCTATTTTTCTCTCATCTAACAACTTGCCACTTGTAGTACTAATGGCTTTACACTCCTCCCTCGCGTTAACTTCAATATTAGCTCCAAAAGCCTTTAACTTCTTAACTAGCTGACCAACCTCATTCTCCAAACTTCTAATTACAACTTTAGTGCTTTTATGATGAGAGATGGACACTTGCATAAACTGTTGAAGTGTGTCATCTAGCTTTGCCATTTAATTAGATAAGGAGGGTTGTTGTTGCCAAGTTGCTGTGATGGTCTACTGAATTGCCCAGCTTGCCCTTGACCCATACTTGGGTGAGGTTTCCACCCTTGGTTGTAATTACCTGAACGAAATTGATTACCTTGTCCCAATGTGGTTATTTCTTAAGCTGGTTATGTACATCTACAAAAATGCTTAAGTTGAATATTAAGGATCATATTAGTTAGCCCAATAAGTGGTTATCCAATCAAGAGTTTGTGGTCTAGTATGAAACTCGTTATGTAGAACAAAGATAGTGGTTCTTGAAGATAAATTTCATCACATTTATTGGTGCAGTAACTGGTTATGTACTCATTCGTATGTGGTTATTTTTAAATCTGGTTGTGAACAACTAAAAAACTACTTAAGTTCAATATGAAGGATCAAATGACTTTGATGCAGTAAGTGGTTATCCAATTAAGGGTATGTGATGTAGTATGAAACTCGTTATGTAGAACAAATCTAAGGGTTCTTGAGGATAAATTGCATCACATTTATTGGTGCAGTAACTGGTTATGTACTCATTCCGATGTGGTTATTTCTGAAGCTGGTTTTGTACAAATAAAAAAATGCTCAAGTTCAATATCAAAGATTATATTACTTTGGTGCAGTAAGTGATTGTCCAATCAAGGGTATGTGGTATAGTATGAAAGTCGTTATATACAACAAATCTACTATTTCTTGAGGATAAATTTCATCATATTTATTGGTGCAGTAAGTGATTATGTACTCAATTGTATGTAATTATTTCTTAAGCTTTTTATGTACATTTACAAAAATGCTTAAGTTGAACATGAATGATGATATTAGTTAGTCCAGTAAGTGGTTATCCAATCAAGGGTTTGTGGTCTAGTATGAAACTCGTTTTGTAGAACAAGTATAGTGGTTCTTGAGGATAAATTTCATCACATTTATTGGTGCAATAACTGGTTATGTACTCATTCGTATGTAGTTATTTATGAAGCTGGTTCTGTACAACTAAAAAACTTCTTAAGTTCAATATGAAGGATCAAATTAGTTTGGTGTAGTAAGTGGTTATCCAATCAAGGGTATGTGGTATAGTATGAAAGTCATTATATACAACAAATCTACTGTTTCTTGAGGATAAATTTCATCATATTTATTGGTACAGTAAGTAATTATGTACTGATGGACAAATTTATGAACACCAAAATATGATGTCACAAACTTGTTTTTCAATCGGCAAGTATGACCGAATCGTTCAAGTAATAAACTTGGTAAGACAAAGTATCGTTCTTCCCAAAGGACTCACGGCCTAGTTTAGTT